GATTGCAACACTAAGCACTTCATGAATATCTGCCCTAACCGTCATCTTTGTGTCAGGTCATGCAGATGTTCAAGGGAATGAGCGTGAAGACTATCTAGTAATGGAGAGAAGTAATGTTATTAATGCCATGCACTGCACTTACCAATCCTAGGAGCAGGCCAAAGAACATGACTCCGTATCCCTGTCTAGACTGATGGACATGGGGGTGCAGCCTGGAGCAGCAAAAAAATGAACATTTCACTTAGACAGGCGTCATCAGTCGTTTTACACTTTTACTTTTGAGGAGATCGGAGCACCTATATATGTGTCTGGAGTGCTGTGATGACAATACTTTATAATCACTAATCGCTAAACTAAAAATAAAAATCGACAGTGTGAACTGTTTTCTTAAAAGTCGACCAAGGAACCAACAGTCTGCATACAGATACGCCAGATCTATTAAAAGGGTATGCACAGAAAACTCAAATACCGAAACAAGACTAAAGTCCAGAAGTTGATGAACAACCAGAACTTTCCACCAGAGTGTACTGACAGTCGGTGAACGCTAAGAATAACAGTATTACATGAAATGTGTTGCCTAATTTCATGCCATTTTCCTCACACTTGTTCTTCTCAATTTCAACAGGTATGTATATTATGTTTGCCTGTTGTGACTACACTTTGTCAGAACAAGTAAAATAGACAATGTCTTAACAATATTAGTCACTAAGTCACATCAAGTCACGGACAAACCAACTGCTAGCCATTAAGCAATGTCGTTAGAAAATGTGTGGTCAAAAAGTGAACTGGAAACAAAAGCCGCAGAGGTCATACAGAGAGCTTGGAGAAGGCATATTGTAAGTTATTATTTAATTTTGTTGTGTTTGTGGAGGCTAGAACTATACTTGTATATTTTCCTAAAAAATGTGAACCCTTCTTCTTTATAGTGTTCACTGGTGGTCAACTCCGGTGGAAAATTATGGTCACTCATCCACTTTGTGGACTTTGGTCTTGTTCCTGAACAAGTTTTGCATGCACATTCATCTTAGGAATCTGGATTATTTATATGCAGACTGTTGGTTTCTTGCCTCACAAGCAGATGCACTCTGACTCAGAAGGAAACACCCTAATTCCTCACCTTTTTAGGGCATGCTTGTTAAGGGGGGGGGTGTATATTTTCTGCCACCCTCCTTCAGTAGGACCACACACATCGTCATGTGGGTTCCGGGACTGCATTGTGGGAAAAACATGAATAGACCTCCTGCCGAAAAGCATGTCATGTCCAAAAGTGGACGAACAACCAGAACTTACCGTCGGAGTTGACAGCTGGTGAACACGAAGAAGAAAGAAGAATAGGGCCACAGAACCTATACAGGGAAACGATTAGGGCTGCCACTGAGAGCTGCATTGGTATTGTGGCCAAACACTAGCCTGCCTGCCTGAAAGTTTGGTGTTCAAATCCTCATCATGACAGATTAAAAAAATTTCAGATTGATTGTGTCTCTTAGGTTGACCACAATGGGTAGCAGATGATATCTTGGAAAGTAGAGATGTTGACCATGTCACCCATTGAGTCTAGCAGCAGATGCCCAATGTGCCACTGGTTTAAAAAGGTGCAGGGCAGGACTGGATTTAGACTAGATGAGACTGTAAGCTTTATAAAATCTTGAAGCCCCTATCATTTGAAATTACACTAGCTTATCTAAAAAAAAACAAAGAAAATTTTCAATATATATGATGTTAAGTAAATGTCCCTTTTCCACACCTTTAGGCATATTGGGCATATAGTGCTAGGACCTATATTTTTATATACCAATCAGCAATTCATGGGTGATGTGGTCAGCATCATGCTGGTCACCTTTACTTCCCATGGCTTGTACCTTGTACCCAGTCTAGGCTGGGTCCACCTGGGAGTCAGGGTTATATTTAAAAGAAAAAAAGTCTGGCTCCATCTGAACCCAAACCCTTACTTTCCGATTCGCAGGCAAGTTTCTAGCTGCTACACCATGGCGACTCCATTTTAAATATATGGATAATGGAAATATATTATCGTTTAATTTTATTAAGCAAAAATGATAAAGCAAGTTTTTGCAAAAATCACATAAATTATATAATTCTTCAAAAGGCTTTGCTACAAATAAAAGCATTTTCCCCCTCGATTTCCCAAATGCAAAATAATTTATTATGTCATCAAAAGATATGCTGCGTGTGCAACATGTCACTGTCTATACACATGGTGCTAAGTAACATTTTAAAAAAAAAATTATCCAGAAACCATGAGTTATTAAACCTTTGGCTCAGTACTATACCCTTCGGCCTTGATTCCAGGATAGATAAAGTAAATCTGGGAGAAATGTGGCTTTTCTGCCTACCCCCGGGCATGAACCGGGACCACAAGGAGATCGTCACCTGGTCGCTGCACAGTCAGGTTTAACCAGATGAGCTAGCCAGCTGGGCGTAAAATATATAGGAAGTATAATTGCATTTGTGACAAGAAAAATAAACGTTTTAGGTCCTTGCAGATTGGAAGGCCTAAGCGGTAACCTATTTAAGTTATGCCTAAATCCAGCACTGGTAAAGGGCAGCTACCCCTCTAACCAAGTCAGTGAGTTTTACAGAGCATGTCTAGAAAGGTGAAGACAGGCATGCTCCGTGCAGAGTGGTAAGCATACCTTCAGAGGTCCCGGGTAGTTAGCATCCTTTGGATATTTTCTCCAGGTCATGACGGTGTGTTGAGAAATGAGCAGGCAGATGGACTGGCCAGTTCTGCACCACTTGGTGGTGAATAAATTTATGACAAGCTGGATGTTGTGAGGGCCCTTTGGGAGCGAGTGAACAGTGCGGAGGCACAGAAAGATCATTAAGGTCTGAGGAGAATGGCGCTGTGAGGAGTTACTCTGGGATCTGGCTGATACTCAACACTCAAGGAAAAGCCTAGGCGGATAATCAGACAGTTACTGGTGCCATCAGAACTCTTTGATTGCTGCTAAAGATAGGGATGAAGCTCTTAAGAGAGTGTCCTGAGGGCTATGATTTCAGTTCTAAATTCAGTATTCCAAGTCAACGAGAAAATATATATTGAACAAATAGGATTTTTGAGGACACCTTTTCCTTTAATACCAAAACATACCTTTACCTTATCATATTTTGAGTTCTGTTTATTATTTCTCAAAGTTAATGTTTTTTTTTATTTTTAAACGTGTAAATTGCATATAATGATTTTCCCTTGTGAGTTCCAGAGACTCATTGTGGGGGAAAACAAGAATAGACCCACTGCCTCCCAACAAGTATTTCATAGGAGTAGACTAACTGGGGGCATGCTTCAAAGTCTGGGTACATCTGCCTGAGAAGTAAGAAACCGATAGTCTGCATGCAAATAAGCCACTGCGGTGAAACGGATGTGCACACAAAACTCAGGTTCTGGAACCAGACTAAAGTCTGAGGGTGGACGAACACCCAGAACTTCCTGCTGGAGTTTACAACCAGTAAACATGAAGAAGTATAATTAGTAAGACCTGATGTTTATTTATGCATCTTTCACTACAGAAACTTGTCTTCTGCTCTTTTTTTTTCTGTGATAGGACTTTTATGTTGTTTTTTTGGTACAAGAGTCATACCGTGGAAGAAACTGAGGCTTCACCCTGTAATATTTGCATAGATAGCTGTGGATACATTGCAGCAAATATCCCTTACTCAGCTTTTCCAGTGGCTTGTTCCTGAAAAGCATGGGTAAAGGGTGTTGGTTCTCTTTGCACCTGCACAGTATTAAGGAAGCCCAGTTATGAATATATTTACTAAAAATAACATTTAGGGGGGTTTTCTTGTGAACAAAATAGCTTTTACAAAGCCATGTTGCTGTATATTTTCCCCGTAGCCTTAGTGTTAGAGGTCAAATGGTCTTAGCATGAGTCATACATATTTTTTTTAGGCCCTTGGAAAAGTATTCCATTGAATGCCTCTCTTCCAGGCACCATTGTGGGGAAAACAAGAATAAACCCACTGCCTCCCTGTTAAGCATGTAATGAGGGTTGACTAACTTTGGGAGGGGGGTGGGGGGGGGGGGGGGGGGGTTCTACGAAGTCAGAGTGCATCTGCCTGAGAGACAGGGAACCAACAATCTGCATTCAAATAAGCTAGATTTGTAAAATAAATGTGCAGACGACACTGAGATCTTGGAACAAGACTAAAGTCCAGAGATGGATGAACAACCAAAATTTTCCACTGGAGTTTACAGTCCGTGAATGCGAAAAAGCATGCCTCATTCATGTATATTGATTATTCTCTTAATCTATGAATATTTTGTTTTAAAATGAAGTTACAAATATTTATAGGAACAGCATCGGCCATGCACTCACAATGGATAGGACCAGACTTTCCTATTAAACCCTCATATGGAAACCATAAGGGAAAAGAAAATGTTGAAGACCAAGACAGAGGACCCTTAGTAGAACCATCATCAGGAAAGGCTCAGCCATGTGTCTAATGAACATTCAAGACATAAAACAGGTTGCAACAAACCGCCAGACATAGAGAGCTATGACCTCTGCCCTGTGTGCCACCCTAGATACAAATAATGGCAGGACACTTTTTAGTGACCTTATGTTAATTTAAAAGATATTTTTGGCACACAGGATCTGACTTAAAACAAACAGTTTAAAGGACAATGGAGTTAAAATAGTCATGATTCTTCTTCTTCTCTTTTTCTTTCTACAGCTTAAAAATACAGCTTAAAAATTGTGGTTTTGATGTCTCTTATGAGGAGCGACTGGCTGAATGGTTAGAATTCTGGGCTCTCAAGCAGAGACCCGGGTTCAAATCCTCGGAAAGGCTTGGGATTTTTTCTGTCAGGGGCAAAATAAAAATCCTCACCTGCACATTCGTGGTGACAGCACTAGCCATGCGGCCGTAAATCCTGAAGCTCAAAGACCGCCCCATCCGCCTTCACCACAAAAGTGTTTTAATAAAGGCATTAATTGGCAGTGTTGGCAGATGTCTCTCATTCCTTCTGCTTATGTTTACAGGATATGCAAGTCTACAGATATTACCGAGACCTCATCAAGTTCAACTCCAGAGGGAACCCTAGTGAGATGCTGAGGTGTATCAACCCCAACGAGGCCAAACTTCTTGATGTTGCAGCCGGGGTGACTGTCAGATTCAGGCTTGCTGGGGTATTGGTGTCATTATTTGTATTTTTTTTTTGGACGTGACTGATTGACAGAGTTGACTGATTGATTGACATAACTTACTGACAGACGTGGTTTTGACTAAAAAAAAGTGTTTGACTGATATCACTGACTTAAATGAACCACTGTCTCACATACCTGACTTATTGACTTGGCTGGGGCTAAAATAGCTGTCTGACTGACTGATATAACTGACTGATTAACTCACATGGCTGACTGACAGGATGACTTAGTTTTCAATACAAGTAACTGGAATGTCTGATTAACTAGTATGACTAGCATGGTTTTGACTGAAATGACTGTCTTACTGGCTGATGTGACTGACTGAAATAACTGTCTTACTGGCTGATGTGACTGACTGAAATAACTGTCTTACTGGCTGATGTGACTGACTGAAATAACTGTCTTACTGGCTGATGTGACTGACTGAAATAACTGTCTTACTGGCTGATGTGACTGACTGAAATGACTGTCTTACTGGCTGATGTGACTGACTGAAATAACTGTCTTACTGGCTGATGTGACTGACTGAAATAACTGTCTTACTGGCTGATATGACTGACTGAAATGACTGTCTTACTGGCTGATGTGACTGACTGAAATAACTGTCTTACTGGCTGATGTGACTGACTGAAATAACTGTCTTACTGGCTGATGTGACTGACTGAAATAACTGTCTTACTGGCTGATGTGACTGACTGAAATAACTGTCTTACTGGCTGATTTCTATGTGACTGACTGAAATAACTGTCTTACTGGCTGATGTGACTGACGCGTTGAAAGAAAAACTGGCTCTACTGCGTAGATGTGACGGCTGAATAACTGATGTGACTGACTGAAATGAAAATAACTGTCTTACTGGCTGATGTGACTGACTGAAATGACTGTCTTACTGGCTGATGTGACTGACTGAAATAACTGTCTTACTGGCTGATGTGACTGACTGAAATAACTGTCTTACTGGCTGATGACTGTGAAATAACTGTCTTTAACTTATCTGACTGAAATAACTGTCTTACTGGCTGATGTGACTGACTGAAATGACTGTCTTACTGGCTGATGTGACTGACTGAAATAACTGTCTTACTGGCTGATGTGACTGACTGAAATTACTGTCTTACTGGCTGATGTGACTGACTGAAATAACTGTCTTACTGGCTGATGTGACTGATTGAAATGACTGTCTTACTGGCTGATGTGACTGACTGAAATAACTGTCTTACTGGCTGATGTGACTGACTGAAATTACTGTCTTACTGGCTGATGTGACTGACTGAAATAACTGTTTTACTGGCTGATGTGACTGACTGAAATTACTAATTGATTTACATGACTGACATGACTTTGACAAAAATAACTGTCTGACTGACTGATGTAATGGACTAAAATGACTGATTAACTCACATGACTGAAGAAAATAACTGCTTGACTGACAGACAATTGCCAGACTGACATGACTGAAAGCAATAACTGAGTGTCTGCGATGGCTGACTGAAATGATTGAGTGACTGTCATGACCTGTTGACTGAATTCAGTGATTCATTTACTGATTGAATGATGGATTAAATTGATTAATTACCCGATTGACTAAGCTACTAAATAGGTGATCTTTGCGCACATTAAACAAGGTACAGATGCTCTTAGGGCAGCTTCTGCCTTTCAGGTTAAAAGTGTTACAAATAATACAACTGTGTGGGGACTCCTCAATATTGGTTGGTTACAGTGTACCTATGCTATCATTGGAAATATTTATGCAGGGTGTGACCGCCACGTGACAGGCCTAGCAAGCCGGCAGTGGTGTAACTGATTGCTGTGAAACAAGAAATATTGAATACATATGAGACAGGCACTAGAACAGAAAATAACGACATGGGAAATGTGCTGTCTCTGCAAGGTCGCTAACAGTACAAGAAGAGACAGGGTTAAAACACCAGCATTAGAGAGCAAGTTGGAATAAGACCATGTGTGGATTAAATTGACAGACAAAGAAGGAAATAGTTCAGCCATTTAGTGAGACTGCAACTAGACCAAACTGCATATGAGACTTTTACAGAAAAACATCTGGGAGTATGGCGAGAGGAAGATCAAGAATGAATGGACAATTGGTGTATCAGAAACATGAAAAAAGATGAACAAATCCATCATCCAAGCCACCCGAGAAGTGCAAGACTAGTACAGAAAACCGCTACAACCTGGTATCAGTGAGACAACAAAAGAAGAAGAAAAAGAAGAAGAAGAAGAGACCCCAGCACAAACTGCTTCACAACTCCTTGGTGCAATTCTCGTACCTCTGTCTAAAAACTTTAAAATAAGATAAAAAACGATTCTTTGTGGGAATTGAACCCTATTACTTGAGGATGATGAAATTTGAGGTGTTAAGCGTTCACATATTCTAGGCAAGACTGTTAAAAGCAATCCTTAAAATACTACTACTTCTTTTTTCTACTCCTGGAATGCCTCACAACATCAGGGCAGGAAGAGATCTCTGGAATGGGCCCTTCTGCTGGCTTCCTAAAGAGTTACTTTTCAGTGTTTCTGGTATTTCAGCAGTCCCTCTTCTACATGGTTGGTCTCTGTTACCATTGTATCCGTAAGATACCATTTGTAGGAGACACAATCCTGAACGGTGACCATAGTTCTCTTTTTCTGTCTTTCATCTGCTAAGGAAGCATAAGTCTTCAGGAAGTAGCGGTCAGTGTCATCACGATAAACAACCAATATTTTTTTTAATGTGAAACAACTAATGCCCTTTTCAGGATTGAGACACCCATTATATTTGAGGATGAGGTGGACGGTGACATCCTGTATACAGATGACTCAGTCTGGTAGTCTGGTAGTCTTAGTTTCAGCTTCATAGCAAACGGGTTGCCCCATCTTTGCTCCGCTCCTGTGCCAACAAAAAACACACAGAATGTTTATCACAGTATTAGAATTGCAGTTCATCATTGATGGTAGCAGAAGTCGCCAACAGATCAGCAGTTGCCCACGCGATCAATTTTAATCACATACGGGCACCACAACACTGCACGACAGGCATCGCGCCATTTTCTGAATCTACAATTCACACCAACACGTTGGTCACAGTCGAAAAAAACATTCCAAATGCAATCCGCAGCTCACAGGGTCACGCCATGCATTCAACTCAGAAGCTGGGCGACGAAACTATATCCAGTCTACAAATGGAGCAAAAATGCATCGGCCACCGTCCGGCAGAAGCAAAAAATTTGCCTCTGTTTAGAACAGTGCAGCTGCTTAACGTCCATGATGACTCAGTGATTTGTGGGGTGCAGTATGGGTGGACATACACAGTGGAGGTGAATGGGAACACATATGTAAGAAGTCTAAGCTGCTGTTACCCCCCACTAACCACCTATATATATTCTCTGTTAATTTAGGTTTATATAAGTTATTTTTTTTAAACGTTTTACTAAACTCGGGAGTCACTAGACGCTCGCCGCGGATCCGAAAGATGTAGGTTCACTCCCTGGAGGAGCCAAACTTTTTTAAAAAATGACCTTGCCTCCCAGGTCGACCCAGCCTTGATTGGGTACCAGGTGCAGTCCCAGGAAGTTGAGGTGGCCGGCGTGATGCTGACCACATCATCCAACATGTGCCGATTGGTCTATAAAATATAGGTCTAGCCCTATATGCCCTATATGCCTAAAGGCGTGGAAAAGGGTTTTTTACTTTACTTATTAAAATCTTACTGCCATTTAGCAAATCATGATTATTTATTTTTATTATTTATTTTAATTTAAATACTTGGGGAGCATCTTCACAGATGATGGAAGAATTGATAGGGAACTTGAGGCAAGATGTCAAAAGGCGAACGCAGTAACTTACCAACTCTCCCCACTGCTAAAACACCCAAGCATCACTATGGCACTAAAACGACAACTGATAAATTGCATATTTATACCAACCCTCTGCTACCAATGCCAAACCTGGTCCCTAACAAGAGCACAGGAGAAAAAGATCACGACGTGCGAAATGAGATGCTTACGTAAGGCTGCCAATGTCCCAAGGAGAGACAGAGTTCGAAACGAGAACATTAGATCAATTGTAGGAACCACACCATGCCTGCAATACATAAAGAAGCAACAAATAGAGTGGTTTGGCCACTTGATGCAAATGCAAACCGACCAACTGCCTCTACGAGCATACAACGAACAACACTACTGCCCTAGAGCAAGAGGCAGACCGAAAGTACGATGGATAGACAATATATCAGAGATCCTGAGGCAACACGGACTAACAACAACACATGCAACACACCTGGCCCAGGATAGAAAACTGCGACTCCCCACTACTCTGTGAGGCAATTGTGGACAAGACAAGACAAGACAAGATTATTTATTTTTATTCTTAATTATTATTCACTTCAACAAACCTTGGGTTACCTTGAGCCTATCTCTTGTCCCCCAGAAAATTTGTAAGGAGGCTGAAAGACACCCCCCCCCTCCCTCCTGACCAACCTCTTCCCTGAAGATGATAACTTCTCATATTTGTGCTACATGGTAGCTGCATTTGTTACAAAAAAATGAAACAAAACATCATCAGGATGTTAGTAACAACTCACCGAACGCTGTCCTGTTTGTTTAGGAAAGATTCCCACCTAACATTTACTACAAGATATTCACAACGCGACCGATACAAGACTTATGTGCCAACAGTCCCAAAGACTACACCAGTGTCACTGCGAAGCAACTGCCAGTCAAAATATTCCATGGGCGTTCATTTGTTCACAATAATCTTCAAGATGGTAATGTTTTGTTAACTGAATTTTGTTTCATTTTTGTTTTGTTTTCTGCCTTGTATTCCTCAGTTCTCCTTGTAGATTCTGGGACCCTTTTTTGGGGGTTGAGGGGGGGGGGGTGGGGGCTGAGTTGTGTGAACTAGATCCTTTATTCCTTAACAACGGTTCCAAAGATTTCACGTGGCCTTGCCAGGCAACTGCTCATTTGTTCACAATAATCTTCAAGATGGTAATGTTTTGTTTTACTGAATTTTGTTTCACTTTCTTTCTTCTTTTGTTCACTTGAAATAGATTTTCTATCTATATCTACAGTGTTTTCTCTAATATGAACTTCACCGTCTGTTATAATTCAGTCAGCGACCCATCAAGTTTGGCTTGCACAGAAGTTTTTCTTGGCCAAAAGTTTTACCTTGATATGTTGTAAATTTTGTGTATATGCTTTTTGCGTTTTGTTTTCTGCCTTGTAAACCTCAATTCCCCTAGTGGATTCTAGGATCCCATATTCTGGGAGGGGGGGGGGGGGAGGGGGAAGGGAGCTCACTGGGGATAGTTCCTTTGCTCCTTAACAAGCATGTAATAAACGTTGACTAATTAACGATCTGCTGAACAAATGTGTTGGGCCAAAATGGGCAGATTTCACAGCCTAGCTGTAAACATAAATACAGTGGGTCAACTGCCCTTTTAATGGTTAGCACAAAAGAATAGAATTTGACATAGAACAGCTCTATGGTTTAGAGGTTAGTGAATGCATGTCACAATTTCGCAGTCCTTGAAGTACTAGGCTTTAGTTACCATTCACTGATGTTTTGAAAGAAATGGAACATTCTCATGGCTTAGGACAATGAAAGTGATTGGTGAAAGATGTTTTGAAAGAAATGGAACATTCTCATGGCTTAGGACAATGAAAGTGATTGGTGAAAGATGTTTTGAAAGCAATGGAACATTCTCATGGCTTAGGACAATGAAAGTGATTGGTGAAAGATGTTTTGAAAGAAATGGAACATTCTCATGGCTTAGGACAATGAAAGTGATTGGTGAAAGATGTTTTGAAAGCAATGGAACATTCTCATGGCTTAGGGCAATGAAAGTGATTGGTGAAAGATGTTTTGAAAGCAATGGAACATTCTCATGGCTTAGGACAATGAAAGTGATTGGTGAAAGATGTTTTGAAAGCAATGGAACATTCTCATGGCTTAGGACAATGAAAGTGATTGGTGAAAGATGTTTTGAAAGAAATGGAACATTCTCATGGCTTAGGACAATGAAAGTGATTGGTGAAAGATGTTTTGAAAGAAATGGAACATTCTCATGGCTTAGGACAATGAAAGTGATTGGTGAAAGATGTTTTGAAAGAAATGGAACATTCTCATGGCTTAGGACAATGAAAGTGATTGGTGAAAGATGTTTTGAAAGAAATGGCACATTCTCATGGCTTAGGACAATGAAAGTGATTGGTGAAAGATGTTTTGAAAGAAATGGAACATTCTCATGGCTTAGGACAATGAAAGTGATTGGTGAAAGATGTTTTGAAAGAAATGGAACATTCTCATGGCTTAGGACAATGAAAGTGATTGGTTGAAAGAAAAGATGTTTTTGAAAGAAATGGAACATTCTCATGGCTTAGGACAATGAAAGTGATTGGTGAAAGATGTTTTGAAAGAAATGGAACATTCTCATGGCTTAGGACAATGAAAGTGATTGGTGAAAGATGTTTTGAAAGAAATGGAACATTCTCATGGCTTAGGACAATGAAAGTGATTGGTGAAAGATGTTTTGAAAGAAATGGAACATTCTCATGGCTTAGGACAATGAAAGTGATTGGTGAAAAATGTTTTGAAAGAAATGGAACATTCTCATGGCTTAGGACAATGAAAGTGATTGGTGAAAAATGTTTTGAAAGAAATGGAACATTCTCATGGCTTAGGACAATGAAAGTGATTGGTGAAAGATGTTTTGAAAGAAATGGAACATTCTCATGGCTTAGGACAATGAAAGTGATTGGTGAAAAATGTTTTGAAATTTGGTACTGGATTCAATTTCTTTTGACTTCCAGATATCCTGGTATTTCTTTTGCTTATTGTGTGTGTTTGAATGTGTATTCTTAACTTCATCATAAAAAAAAAAATTATTTGGGGCTCTTTTCACATTAGTTGTTAGCTGAGATTCCAGCATCACGTTGGATGGGTCGCCACATTGTGCCAGTGGAAGTTAAACAATATGTCCATCATTGTCCTATTTGAAAATTAGTAAAAAACTTGTCAGTCCTAGAAAAATCTTGAAGTTTGCCAGACAAAGTGAAAATGTATGAGGCAACTGTCAGATGTGCCAGTTTTAACAGTCCAACACCGGAATTGTAGCTCACTGTTGGCACTAAAGCTGGGATTGCAACCACAAAAGTACACGCCATTCTGTCGTAATCTGCCACTCACCATTTTAGTGCAGATAACAACACCCTGTGGGCGCATCAGATGAAAAACATGACATCCACAGCTCACAAAAAAGCTTACAGTGCCACAACTCAGCCCAGTAGTTGGGCGACAGAACCTCTGGATTCCCAGTCCAGAAATGGGGAATTTGCATCAGCAAAACCTAGCAGGAAACATACGTTTTCAGAGCATCAACAGATTTAGGCCATTTTGGCCTGAAGTCTAGTGGTGCATCAGGCATGTGGTGCTAAACCTATTTTTTTATTGACTAATCAGCACTCGCTTGATATTGAGGTGAATTTCATATTTTATTTCCTAGGACATTACCTGATGCCCATTATAGACCTGGGAGTTGAGGTCAGTTTTGACAAATTGCTGAGTTTTGTCCAAGACTAAAGGGATGGCAGTCAGGTGTCTAGCCACTCTGCTACCGCAGCTCTCTTCTTAACCTAATATTAGTGTCCATATTAGTGTGTGGTGATGTCCATCTTTGCATGTTTGAATTCTTTATTTTTGTCAGTTGGTTTGGATGGATCTCAATTTTGCTTGTCTGACCTCCTGTAATTTAGGCTGTGACTGTGCATTGTATTCTGGGAAATAAATGAGGATAGCTTGATTTGTATCCTCCGCTCGTCAAATGCTTATTATTATTTTTCTTTGCGTTTACTGGCTGTAAACTCCGGCAGAAAGTTCAGGCTGTTTGTCCACTTCTGGACTCTAGTTCTGTTTCAGAACCTGAGTGTTGGTGCACATCCATTTTACCGATCTGACTTATGTGTATGCCGACTGTTGGTTCCTTGCCTCTAAGGCAGATGCACTCTGACTTCGAAGGAAGCTCCCAATTAGTCTACTTTGATGACATGCTTTTTTGGGGAGGCAGTAGGTCTATTCTTGTTTTCCCCACAATGGGGACCCAGAACCGACACAGGGACACATGCCTAATAATTTGTAAGAATCTGTTTGTTTGTTTGTTTTAGTATCCAGAAGCCATGAGTTGTTAACCCTTAGGCTCGGTGTTATGGATATTGCAACCTTTCGGCCTTGATTCCATTGTAAATATCATGAATCTGGGAGAAAATGTGGCTTTTCTGCCTACCCCCGGGATTGAACCCGGACCAAAAGGAGTTCATCACCCGGTCTCCGGGCAGTCCGGTTTAGCCAACTACGCTAGAGAGTCGGGCTTGTAAGAATATAGTGCTAGCAATATGTACTCCTTATTCCTCGAGTTGTTGGAAAAGACCATTCACTTCACCTTACTTGATTTCTTTTTTTGCCCTTCATTTCCCAATGGAGCATAGGCCCTCAATCAACTAGTCAAGTCCTCCTATCCTTTGCTGTTCCAAGCAGCTTACCCCATGTCCTCCCTTTCTTTTAAACATTTTCTAGCTCCCTTCCCTGTGTGTTTTTGGTCTGTCTTTATTTCTATATCCCTGTAGATTCCAGTGCAAAGATTTTCTAGTTACATTGTTCTAATGTTTTATCAACGTGTGTCCTATCCAACGTCAGCATCTTTTCTTCACCTCGTGATTAACTGGAATTTGTTTAGTTCTCTCCCAAAGCTCAGCATTAGGGATTTTATCATACCATTTAATTTTCCCTACTGTATGCAGGCCTGAAGATGTGGAAATGGTTCCTTTACATTGCCTTTACTCACTGTGTGCAGGTACCAGTTAGTGAGTGTTTGTAGTTTATTAGTAATTGTCTTAGATGTTCTTTATGTTGTAGCTTCATACAGTAGTACTGATTTCACATTAGAGCTAAATATTTTAAGTTAAGCATTAGTTTTAATTTCCTTTGGCTTGACTGTCACAAATTCCTTAGTGCTATAAAAATATCTCTTGTCTTCGTAGTTGTATTTTAACATATCTATCAGTTCCCCCATCTTTATTTACATTACAATATGACTCAACATTTTGGAGCGGAATATTATTCAGAGAAACTACATTACTGTTTGCCTGGTTAATTCTCATTACCTTTATCTTTCCATTTTGGATTTTTAGACCTAGCTGTTGTGATAATAATCAAGTGTGGTTAATTTATCTTGCATCTGATTCTCTTAGTGGGATAGAAGAGAAGTATCATACATGTCCAGGTCATCAAGCTATTTTGTAGGGCTCCACTGAACTCCATTCCAGGTGGTAGTTGTTGCTGTCGTCATAATCCATTCTCCAGTCTTTACTTTATTTCCATGTTCTCAAACCTGGTGATCCACCCAATCATACAGTATTTATAGTGGAAACCAAATGGAGAAATTAAATGGATATTATAACAGTGTATTTTTTTCACACACACAAATGACAGCGCCGCAGCTATGTATATATTATTATTACTTACTTCTAAGCAAGAGATGTCCCATTAGCTTTCTATTGTAATTGCATAATACTGTATTTTAAAAACCTTTATTTGTGTTAATGTGAAGCTCCCGATGTGGGTTCTTGGGCCTTATTATGGGGGAAAACAAGAATAGACTCACTGCCTCCCCAACAAGCATGTCAAAGGAGTCGACTAATTTGGAACCTCCTTCGAAATCAGAGTGCATTTGCCTGAGCGGCAAGGAATAACTGGCTGCACATAAATACACGCAAAACTCAGTCCCTGGCACAAATGCAAAGTCCAACTGTGTGAACAAAGAAGAAGAAGAGATAACGTGAAACCGACTCATCCTAATTTCCATTACTTTCATAATGTGTTGAAAAAATAAAATTCTTTCTACCCTGGCATTTGTTTTTGTCATAGCTGTCAGTCAGTACTCCTTGAATATGAAAGTACATGAGGTGGGAGAGCTGGCGAGAGACCGAGTTTCTTTCAGGCTGACCATCATGAGAGCAACGTTCTGCAAAGGACCTGCTACATGATGATAATGATGTCTCTCAGTCAGCAAAATATTTCTCCAATTCTTCTGTTCCACAAGTGTGAAAATGTAGAAGACATTGCTTTACTTGACTTTCCAACAGTCAATCTTGATTTGATGATCAGTGTACACCAGTTTTATTGACTTCTTTTAGACAAAAGGGGCTGGTATAAAAGGATTGAAAACAATGGCTGGCGTCTGATGTCAGATCGTTTGATTCAGCATATCATGAGTGACCCTGTGACTCGGGAAACTTCTAAGAAAGTGCACAATTTTGATCACAACAGGGTAGGTTTATTTTTTGTCCTGCTGTTTTTCATGTCAAGAATTTAATTGTTGATTCATTATTAGTCATGTCCCTTAGACCTTGGTAGCTGATAGCCGAGGTTTTAAAATCACTATAATTTGGTCACTCAGTAATTGCTCTATCTCTGTGCCAGTGAAAATCACTGGAAATGTCCCTCACTGTTCTATTTAAAAAACCAAACTGTGAACAAACAATTTGTCTTGGAAAATCCAGAAACATGCAAATGCAGTAAATGCATAAGGCAGCTGCCAGAGGTGCCAACACCAGCAGTCACCAAAAGAATTGTAGTGCGTTGTTGATGGAAGTAGTCAGCCATGACAAATTGGCCGCACACACACACACACACACACACTATATTAATGCATAAGGCACTTAGCCAGCCTAACCACAAACTGACGTTATATATATATATATATATATATATATATATATATATATATATATATATATATATATATATATATATATATATATATATATATATATATATATATCAGGTACAAATAAATAAAAATAAAAGAGTCATTTTTTTGCCATCAGCCAAATAGGCATATGGTGCTTGTCCCATATTTTTTAACTCTTTCAGTATCAGAGAGTTCCTAGTACATTCATTGCTGTATGCTTATATGGTACATATATGTCTAACATGCTGAAGGCGATTATGCAAATTTTTTGGTCATGGACTTGCGGACTGCTTCCTGCTGATTTCCAAATGGCGCCACCCATGATTATTTGGGAGCTTAGCACACGGATGTAAGCTTGAGCAGTCATATGTAGAACGTGATGATTCTTTTGGTGAGGTCAGGACCAGAGTCATGTGTCGGCTCTGCATTTATAGAAGCGTCCTTGGATGGCGGTTAATGCCCATGGTCTACTCCTGCCTTCCCTTGAGGGCAAACCTGTCTACATGTGGTATCCACACCACACATTCAAGGCTACGTTATGCCCCATAAAACTATCTGAAAAGTTAACCAGGTTAGCACACGCTCAAAGAAGTTGGATGTACTGACCAAAATAGACAGTTATCGCAGCTATGCTGGAAACAGGCGCAGCACAGTTACGTCACTAGGTTGAATGAAAAGAAGAAAATATGGACATATTTCTTTACTCTATTTGTACCATTCATCTGTAATGATAACCCTTTCTTAGTTATTACTGTAACTTTTTCTGTCCCAAACCTGTATGACAAAAGACTAATAAGACGAATAAGTAAAGAAAATAGTCAGGGCATATAAGGCTAGATCTATATTTGTATACACCAATTGGCACAAAATGGGTGATGTGGTCAGCATCACACCAAGATGAATAAGACAACAACAAAAATTGTGCTCTAAGACGCAACAACTTTATGATAGACAGTGTTGAATTTAGAAATACATGGGGACTGAAAGAGTTAAAGTCCATTCAACACTCAGTCAATGCTGGTGACTGCATTTAGCTCTTGCTTGCAATCTGCTACATAACCGTCTGTATGGCGGTGTAGAGCGGGGGTAGGGCTGGAGATGCAATTACCTGTATGCCATATCTAAATTTAGGATTGAATATTAGTTTACATATTTTGATAAGTTACCGTTTTGTTTAAAAAATATATATATATATATTTTTTTAAATTTCAGTTACAAAGGAAACAGGATGTAGAAAAGCGAAAGAAGCAAAGAAAAATTGAATGGATGCAAAAAATGTGAGCCTTTACACATTTTGTTTTAAAACAATCACTTTTGGTACTTGAAATTAATGTATAGAATATATTTTTTGCTTAGTTATATATTGGCAGAGAATGGTTAAAATAAAGACATACCCAACAAACTAACAAAAATTAGGGGGTAGTCTAATCAGAAATTTGAAAAATATCATATTTTTGCTTTAACATATTCTGTGCCACTAACCATGTAGATAAATATGTCTATTTTCATATTTTATATGGTTCTTTTCAATCCAAAACAAGGAATCACTCCCTTTTTCTTGGGTCTTATAAATAAGGATTTCTCCTTTACTTCCGTCAATGTGATTTCCGTTGATTGAAGCTGGAAATGTTATGATTTGTGAGTTATTATCGAGTTATTTGTGTCAATACTTAGTTTAGAATTACGCCATCATTTCCAAAGCAGAGGAGTAAAGTTGCAAAGAAAAGGAAATTTAGAGGAAATCAGTTTACTTCTGCTTCAAAGCAACCTAAACTGGTAGACATTGAATTGCAGCCTCGTGTTTCACCAGCTGACGCTTGCCGAGTTTCTGAAGACAAAGAAAATCATCAGATTTCAGAATCTCTTAGTGCCACGCCCACTACATCAGAAAATAAACTGTTTATGGACAGCATTATGAATGAAGATCTAGAGGATAAACAAGAGTGTTCTGATGACTTTAATAGTGACAATAAAAGTGAAAAGGGTCATTTATCTGATCTTGTTCCCAGTGGCAACAGAATTATTGATATGGACATTTTGTGTGAGAATATTTCATCACAATTAGTGTGTGCAAGTTGTCATGAAAGTGTCTGATTAGTTGAAATTCAGAGGCAAGGTTTAGGAAGTAAACTTGCATTTCACTGCAACAATAAAAGATGTTCTGGACAAAAGGCTTTCCCTACATGCGAACAAATCATTGTAGGTAATAGGACAGTCAGTAGTATAAATCAGCGTGCTGTTTTTGCAATGCAAACTATTGGCTGCGACCGATCTGAATGGCAGACATTTTGCGGAGTTATGGATTTACCACCACCTGTCAGCAAAAGCACATATAGTCTTATTAATAAGAAAATAGAGGCTGCAGCAACAGAGGTACAGAGTACATCTATGAGAAATGCAGCCATGAATGAATTTTCTTTAGCTGAATGTTTAGAAAATAAGGAACAGATGGATGACATCCGTCATATTGATGTGTCATCAGATGGGACTTGGATGACCCCAGGACACTCATCAGTGATAGGAGTTGCCACAACTATTGGTTGTCAAACAGGCAAAATACTTGATACAGGGACAAGATGTAAGCAATGCAAGTCTTGTGACGTTTGGAAAAGAAGAGATAAAAGTACGACGAGGTATATTAGATGGGCTACAGAGCACAAGGACATATGTACACTCACACATAAGGGTTCTTCGGGATCGATGGAGGCAGAAATAATCAAATATATTTTTGCAAGGTCGGTGACAAATTATAATCTTAGGTATACCAGGTTTATAAGCGATGGAGATACAAACACATACAAAGCAGTAGTTAATTCCAAACCATATGGAGACATACCGATTGATAAAATAGAGTGTGTGGGACACGTACAAAAAGAATGGGCACCTGTCTCCGCAACTTAAAAAAAAGCATGAAAGGAAGAAAGTTAGAAGACGGAAAAGGCTTAGATGGAAAAGGAAGGCTTACAGATAAACAAATTGATCAGATTCAAACAATGTATGGGAATGCAATTCGTAGAAATAAAAACAATCTTGCTAAGATGAGACAACATGTGTGGGCAGTCTATTTTCACAGACTTTCAACTGATGGAAATCCTCAACACAGTATGTGCTCACCTGTGTGTCCTTATAAGAAGGCTGAATCAGAAAACAAGTTAGATTCTTACAAACATAAATCTAGCTTGCCCACAGCAGTTATGGATGCCATAAAACCCATCTTTAGGGATCTTGCACATCCAGATCTTTTACGCAAGTGTTTAGAAGGTTATACACAGAACGCAAATGAAAGTGCTAACAGCCTCATCTGGAAATATTGCCCTAAAAAAAAAGCTCATGGACTGACTACAGTAAAAACAGCTGTTTCAATAGCAGTGAGTGTATTCAATGATGGTGCTAAGACATTCTTGGATATTATGAGGGAACTGCAGCTCATGGTTGGACAGTTTGCTAAAGACTGTTTTCTACATAAGGATATGCGACGCATAAAAAATGCTCAACGGCGAGCCATAGCAGCATCACATGCAGCCAGAATAGCTAGGAGGCGGAGTAGACTTACTAGGGATGAGAAGCAGGCCCACCAGGAAAGATTACCATACTTACCTGGAGGAAATTAGCTCATTTAAGCCGAGTAAGTACAATTTTTCTCTCTCAAAACTGTCCGAAAACTTTGCCAAAATTTAGGGGGTGTGACTAACTTTTTGGTGTTTTTTTCTAAACTATTGGAGATAAATTAATAAACTTTGTTACACAGCTTTAAAACAATAACAGCAATGATCCCTACCACCAGCTTTGAGAAATATTTAATGCAAGTTGAATTATGAGTATTTCAATTTCATAATTTGCTAGTTATTTTAGCCCAAATTTTACAACTTCATAACTTCAAAACTATTGCTAGTACAAACTAGAGGTAGGGAATCTAACTGTAGCAGTGAACTGCTCTGACTTAAAATTCAGGACTCCTGTTAGGTTAGTTTAGAAAATATCTGTATAAGACTAACATCAATTTTTTTTTATTTACTTGTACATTATTTTCAATTTAATAATAATTTAGCACGTTTAAACAAGTTTGCAAGAAAAACAAATGATACATTAGTGAACTGTCATGTATCAAGCAAATGCTCGCCAAATTTCAAGAAGATAATTTAATATTTAGTTGGTTATTCATTAAAAACAAAACGGTACCCATTTTTTTCAAATTTCTGACCAGACTACCCCCTTTAAAGTTAGTTATATCTTCTTTGGGGTCTCCCATGATGTAGCGGCTAAACGCTCGGCTGCGGTAATGGGTTCGGGTCCTGATGGAACTCAGCTTGTTTAAACCTTGGCTCCCAGGTCGACCCAACCTTGAGCAGTAGCAGGTAAAGTCCTGGGAAGTAAAGACAGCCAGGTGATGTTGATCACATCGCCCACCGAGTGTCGATTGGTCTATAAAATATAGGTCCAGCCCTATGCGCCAAACACACCTGAAGGCATGGGAAAGGGTGCTTTTATATCTTTATGACAGATGTTGGTTACAGTTCTTATCATGATCATTATCAACAAACACTTCATCATCATCATCATCATCGTCAACATCATCATCATCATCATCATCATCACCAAGTTTTATATAACTCAGTGGAAGAACATCCATGTCAGAAATAATTAGATGTACATAAAACACAGAATGCTGTGGACAAACATAAATACCTTCACCTTAAAAAAAACATTTGAATCAAACAGGTACAAATCCCCTAAACCCTGTTCATTCAGATAAAAGAGGAGAAGGACGTAGAGCATGAGGTAGACCAAGAACAAGATGTAATGATAACTGCAGAGAAACTCTACAGCAGTATGATGTTTCTATCGGGATGACCAGAAACGCAATAAGCAGAAACTTACACCCTCGACACTTTAAGTGGTAAAAAAAGAATTCAACGAAGAAAAAGAAGAAGAACCATATAAAAAGTGTGGCGCGGTGATTTATGTCACAGGCGTGAGGGGAAGTTAAGTCCAACATGATGTGTATAAGGAGATACTCCGTACGTCACTCGGGCGCCAGTCCTTTACTATCCTGGTTGTACGGAACCTCACGCAAGACCCCTACAGCACGTCCTCGTCGTGCGCCACGGATAATGTCTCAAATGAGCATTAACAGAGCTGTCAGGGGATCTCGGAGTTTGGCGGCCCCCATAGGTGATGAGTCCTTGTGGCTCTCATCAGCCCGCCCCCAAACGCTTGGGTGAAAAATGTTATCAAAACTCATTAGGAGCATGAGTAGGTTCGACAAAAGTACAGCTAAAATCACAACCCTTGGTTAAAAGACTGCTGAGTAAAGAGAACATTGCTCAATGCTCATCCTCGGTTAATTCTCAGTGTCGTCGTCACCGCGCTGAGGTGCACCACAACAGAAACCATACATGGGCTGGCCATCCTTGTGCATCCTCGGTTGGCCTTCAGTGTCGTCGTCACCGCGCTGAGGTGCACCACAATAGCAACCATCCATAGGCTGGCCAGTCACGTACATCCTCGGTTAACTCTCAGTGTCGTCGTCACCGCGCTGTGGTACACCACAACAGCAACCATCCATCGGATGGCTAAGCCTAAATGTCCGACAAAACTAGATCATACGGATCAAAATCTGACCATCAAAATTTGCACTGAAATGCAAAAGGCCGAATGTCCACACCCAAAGACCCCACTCGCCCGAGTGTTGGGACAAAACTGATAACGATATGCCTGATTCAGGATGTGAAATTCTGCCGGGCAAATGTACCTATCTGTGTGGTCACAAAAGTCCAAAACCAACGGGCTGCTCCCCGCTGACTTCCAGAGGGCGCAGCCCCTGTCGAGCGGGAGGCCTGATACGGTTGTGAGGTTAAGCAGGCATGTGCAGGACGTGACGATTCCTTGGGTGAGCCCAGAACCAGAGCGCCATGTGCCGGCTCTGCATGCATGGAAGCCTCCTTGGATGGCGGGGAATGCCCATGATCTGCCCCTGCCTTCCCTTGAGGGCCAACTGTTCCACAGGGGGTTGCCCCAAAGGGGTACTCCGGGGGCAATACCTGCGGCGAAGGAGACAAGGCGGACACCACACAAATCAGGCAGTCTCGACCCACACAAAACAATGGCCACAGTCACCCTAGAAATAGGCCTGACGTCTTCCTTCGAAGTCGGCGTACAGCTGCCCAAGAGGCAGGGAAATAAAAAACGGTTGTACACGCAAAAATCAGGTCCAGGTGAAGGCCAAAAGTCCAAGCGGACGATTAACCGGGACCTTCCACTGGAATTCACAGCCGGTGTTCGATGGAAAAAAAAAAAAAAAATAAAAGTTAGTTGCATATCCTTTTCAGGATATTGCAGAACCAACCCGGGCATTTTTTGGCTGTTGCGGTTTTTCTAGGCACAGTTTACGTTAAGTAGTTTGCCATTGCTTCCTGAATGGTCAGCCCTCGATACCATTGTCAAACCAACGTAAAACAGACCGTCCGCAGCTAGGATCCAACCCGGCAATACAAAGCACGTTCGCAACATTTAAGCCACAGACGATGACTATATAACACAGTTATATTGAGACACTATTTGGTTACAAAATAACCTATAGTCCATTAGGATGGAGGACTGAGGTTTATCAACACCTCATAGCATCGACTTTAGGAAGATCTCGTCTGTTGTTCTAATTGCCCAGGTACAAAGAAGGCATGCTGAAAGCCAAAACTGAAGATGTAGAGATGGCCCAACTTGTAGAGGGCACTGTTGCAGGAATGATGGCAGCAGTCAGTGACCAAGGACCTCAGATACTTGAAGACTGGGAAGTGGATGAACTGCTCGACTGGACAACTGGTTTGGATTTTGATGAGTAAGTACATCATTATCTTCTTCTTGGCATTCACCGGCTGTAAACATCCAGTGAAAAGTTGTCGTTGTTCGTCAGTCTCTGGACTTTCGTCTTATTCCAGAACCTGAGTGTTGTGTGCAAATCCATTTTACAGACCTGGTTTATGCAGAATCTTGGTTCCTTGCCCATTAGGCAGATGCACTATGACTTCCAAGGAAGCCCCCAATTAGTCGACATCTTCAATATGCTTGTTGGGGAGGCAGTGGGTCTGTTCTTGTTTTCCCCCATGATTGGGCCCTCCAACAGGGAGTCCATCATTATAGTCCTCAGGTAGTCATTTCTTTTTCTAAATGCTTATCGAAAAGACTCTTATCCTTTGCCAGTTCCCCTGTCTTATGAATACATTCTGAACTAACTCCAGACTTAGCAAGACACTACATTTATTTATATATTTTTTGGTTACTGCTTGTGTGATATGCTGTTTAAAAGCCATTCTGTGTCATCCGTTAATTACATTAACCATTCTATTCTACGGCACCAGTTTTTCAACAGGGCTGTCCTTTTACAAATTCATGTAAGGACAATATTTTGGTATTACAGCTTTGACCAATCCCCTCTAGCTCTAATAATGGTGTTAGTGCTGTTTGTGCCTGCACAGATACCTGGCACAGATGGACCAGCTATACTAGATATAGCATTTGAGGTAATTTTTTGGGTTAAAAAAAAAACCAAACCCTTTTTAAGTCATTGTGACATCATAATCCACCCTCAGTAGTTGTTTTGTGCCCTGTATACTTTTTTTTCTAGTGAGTTAGGTCAAATAGCCATATTAAAAAAAAAATATGCTTATCTGTAATCCTGAGTTATAGCTCCTTTTCTCCCTAGGGATTGCGGGTGCAGAAGGGTTAAACAACACTGTCATTATTGTCACTACCATTACATAGAGTTATTATTTTAACTCCTTTAGACCCAATGTTTGCCCTGTGGGTTCTGGGCTTCATTTTGGCTAAAGATTAAAAAAAAAAAAATAGAATAGACCAACTGTATCGTAATAAGCATGTCGTAAAAAGTGACTTATCCGGGGTTTCCTTAAAAGTGCAGATATTGCAGCCCAGCTGTAAACCACAACACAACTTGCCAACAACCCTTTTAAGGGCAAATAAAGAAGAGACCCAGTAGTTTACTTGTTCAACTTTTAACTCTTTCGGTGTCAGGCAAGGCAAGATTTAGGATTGTTCTGTTTCATGAATTCTAATCTGAGTATTTCTCCTTCCATTGTCACACAAGACCGGTTCTGGCATTTTACACCATAAATAAATAAAAAAAAAATTATATATATATATATATATATGTGTCTTATCATTAACGTGTCATCCCCATATGGGATGCAATGTTTCGTTTGAAGCCCCACCTTAGCTTCTGACAGAGGCCCTGAATATAGCCGGTGCATAGATATGGCTCAACCATAGATATAGCCTAACGGCTAAAAAGGGGTTTCTGGTACCTCTCCACGAGTGATCCTCATCCGCATGTTGGCACTTTGTGTCACCGGGTGTTTATCGCTTGTGTGATGTCCTGGTGGGGTACAACTACCTACCTACCTACCATAAATTTGTCTCATCAGTTCAACTGTCTCAGTTGCATTTTTTTAATGTTTTCAAAACACAAATTAATATTTCCACTTTGGACCATGCTTGTTGGTTGGCTCTGTGGTTAAGTCGATGTGAACGCTTTTTAATGCCGGGGTGCCGGGTTTGATCCCAGCTGCAGGCCATGCACCTTGCATTAGTTTCGACAGTAGTATCAGGGGGCCGACCGTCCAGCAGGCAATGGCAAACTACTGGACGTAAATTTGCCTAGAGAAACCATACAACAGTCAGGGGTTGCTGGGGTTGGTTCTGTAACATCCTGGAAAGAATACGCAACTAACCTTTAACCATGCATGTTATGTAATAAAGCAACTCTCACCAGCTAAACAAAATGGCATGTTATCTGTAACCTGCTGACAGGGCAGGAATGCATTTTATCCACATTATAGATGAATTGCATTGTCCTTCCAAACATGCACTGTTCATCTGTCTCATCATCTCACCAGAGGATCAGGATGAGATGAGATGATGAGATAGATGAACAGTGTTTGGTTGACATGCTTTGTTTCATGGTTAATGTTTTTTGTTTTGTTCATAATAAAATCAGTCTTAGTATTTAATTGTCGGACTGCGTAATATGTAAATGCTTTTCTGATTTTTTTTTTAAATTTCAGTTACAGGGATTCTTGGGTGAGACTTGCCACAAGTGCTCCATCTCAGAAATCAATAGGTATGAAACCTTTCTTCTTCTTCCTCCCCTCCCATCTCCTCTGCCTCATCTCCCTCCACATCCTCATTTTCTGCTTCTTTTTTGGTATTCTAATGTAACCTGTTGAGTGTCCTGGTTGTTTTTTGATAGTTATTTCTTAGCCTATCAAGGAAGTCGCCGTGGCCGAGCAGCTAGACGCTTGCCGCGGATTGGAAGGTGGTGGGTTCACTCTCTGGCGGAGCCGAACTTTTTTCAAAAATGACCTTGACTCCCAGGTCGACCCAGCCTTGAGTGGGTACCGGATGCAGTTCCCGGGAAAGTAAAGGCGGCCAGCGTGATGCTGACTACATCACCCATCTTGTGCCGATTGGTCTATAAAAATATAGGTCTAGCCCTATATGCCTAAAGGCATGGAAAGGGGTCCTTTACTTAGCCTATCCCACTGTGCCTTTTCCAGAAAACAAGGGATCTAGACCTATCATTTCCCATGTGGGTTCCAGGCCTCATTGTGGGGGAAAACAAGAATAGACCAACTGCCTGCTCAAAAACATGTCGTAAGAGCCGACTCATTGGGAGTTTCCTTCCGAGCACATCTACCTGAGAGGCAAGGAACCAACAGTCTGCATGCAAATGAGTCAGATGTATGAATCGGATGTGCAGGCAACCCTCAGCTTCTGGAACAGGACTAAAGTCCAGAAGTGGATGAACAGCCAGAAGTTTCTGCCAGAGTTTACAGCCGGTGAGCGCGAAGAAGAAGAAGAAGAAGAAGAAGAAGAAGAAGAAGAAGAAGAAGGAGACCTATCATTTTACTGCTTGGACAAATGTGATGCTGGAGACCCAATAATATCTCCTATTTAACAACTTCCTTGGGATTGGTACCATTCTGCTCCCTTCTGTTTTGTTCACATGAATTTTGTTGTGGACATAATTCTGCGGTGCCTGTTTAAAGCATAGCCTTCAAATTCTTCATGCATTTGTTGTCCATGTTAAATGTCCCAGTTAATTTTATGGGACATTGCATTGTTGTGTCATCCTCCTAATCTATGTGTGGTGCCCTTGGGGGTGGGAGGAAGAGGGGAGAGGTGCTCTTTTCATATTGACAACATCATAATTAAGTAGGTCATATTGTACCGATTCAGCAGTACTATACTACATCTTCTTCTTCTTCTTCTTCTTCTGTCTTTATCTGACTTCTGCAGGTTTTAGTTGCCTGGGCTAGCTTTCCTGGCTACAGTATATCTGTTATCTACAGAATATTCTTTCAGGTTTGATTTTCTTAGTCTTTGACTGTGTCTTGTCTGCCTACAAAGCAGCAGATTTGTTGAAACACCAGCGTTGAGGGTCAAGATATTTATGGCAGCTGTTGATATTTGTAGTTCATTAGTAACTGTTTGAGTCATTCTGCATGTTGCTGCCCCATACAGCAGTACTAATAAAATGTGTGTTCCCCGTGTGGGTTCCGGAGCCCCCTTATGGGGAAAACAAGAATATACCCACTGCCTGCCCAAAAGCATGTCGTAAGAGACGACTAACTGGGGAGCTTCCTTTGAAGTCGGAGTGCATCTGCCTGAGGGGCAAGGAACCAACAGTCTGCATTCAAGTGAATCAGATCTGTAAAACTGATGCACACGCATCACTCAGGTTCTGGAGCAGGACTGCAGTTCAAAAGTGGACAAACAACCAGAACTCTCCGCCAGAGTTTACAGCTGGTGAACTCAAAGAAGAAGAAGAAATGTGTGTGTGTGTGCGCATAAATGCATGCATGATTTGTGTATGTGTACACACACACAAGCGATATTGAATGAACACATGCATTAACTTTTTTTTCTCTCCAGAAACAAGACAAAAAACAACAAAAAATATTGTCAGTCCTTATGAACGGAACCAGTCAATGGGACTATCAGCCTCCACCACAAACATGACTGTCACTTCAAGCGAGTTGTCTGTGTAATTCATCATTGGATACCTATAATATGAACGCTGATACTTACTTAAACCACATGTTATTTGTTTGATAGAACTATGCTAATGCAGTGAGGGAAACTGTGTAATACCCACACCAAAATGGTTCTTTATTTGCTGTTGAATAGTTTTCTCTAGCCGCACACTCTGTGTTTGCGTTCTCCTGTCCTGCTCGGGTGGTGTGCACCATCTTAGGGAATTATTTTCCTGAATTTCATTTGGCCCAATTTATCCTTGTCTTTTAGCACTGGAAGGTGCATTTTAAAGTTTCTCTCCATCGTGTTGTGATCATAAGGACATCTCTCACAATCTCTGCTGTTTTGATCTGACCTTGTTTATTTATTATTCCATCTTCTGTCTTACAGTAGAGCATAGATCCTGGAACAAAAACTGGTAAGCTCTGTAACTCTGTAAACTAATTGGAGTTTTTGCTAAAAGTTTTCTTCAGTGTTTATTTGCTGGTTCCCTCTGTGGGTTTCGGGGTCTTATTATGAGGAAAACAAAAGCACTACCCAAAAGCATGTCGTAAGAGTTGACTGATTGGGAGACTCCTTCGAAGTCGGAGTGCATTTGCCTGAGAGGCAAGGAACCAGCAGTCTGCATACAAATGGGTCAGATCTGTAAAAAGGATGCACACACAACACTCAGGTTCTGGAATAGGAGGACTGCAGTCCAGAAGTGGATGAACAACCAGAAATTTCTGCCAGAGTTTACAGCTGGTAAACTCAAAGAAGATTTGCAGGTACCACTGTAACCTTCCTTGACCTCATGTTTGGTAGATTACATTGATTTCAAGTCATAGTTTTTTTTTTGGTTGGTTGGTTTTTGAGGCTACTGGTTTTTAAGGTATTAGGCAGCCAACCACAGGCTTAACCCTTCCTCGGTTGCCTCTGACATGCCTGATAGGATACAGTAGTAATATTTCTTTTTGCTTCCCATTGGGGCTCAGGCGACACACTAAAACATTATCTAATTAACTACAAACATTCATTAACTGATTCTTGTGCAGAATACAGGGAGTTAAATGGTACGACAGAATCACTGAGAACAGATTTGGGAGAAAACGAAACAAATTCCAGTGAATCAAGATGGGAAAACAAGAGTTGGCATTGGATGTGACACACATTAAGAAAATCTGAGAACAGTATAACAAGAATGTCTTTGCCTGGAACTCACACAGGCTATAGAAATAAAGGCAGAACAAAAACACATGGAGAAAGGAGCTAGAGAGGTAAGGTAAAAAGATCAGGAGGGAGATGAATGCGAAAGAAACATATAGGACAACTTAACATAAGCTGGTTGAGGGCTTATGCTCTATCAGATAGAAGAAGACTTGTTAAAGTTAGTTGCGTATCCTTTACAGGACGTTGCAGAACCAACCCCAACAGCCCCTGGCTGTTGTGTGGTTTTTCTAGGCAAGTTACATCCAGTAGTTTGCCATTGCTTTCTGGACGGTCGGCTTTCTTGATACCACTGTCGAAACCAACGCAAGGCGCATTGCCCACAGCTGGGATCGAACCTGGCATCCCGGCATTAGGAAATGAAGCGTTCGCATCGACTTAGCCACAGAACCCACAGAAGAAATGTATGTGTGCCTTTCTTATTATATCATCTGCTAAGAGGCACACATTGGGGAAACTGTTAGGAAACTAAGAGACTGTTTCTGTGAACATCTTATGGATATTTTCAGTGTGACCCTTAACTGGTTTCCCTCCATTTTAATAGATCTTCTTCTTCTTCTTCACGTTCACCAGCTGTAAACTCTGGCGGAAGGTTCTGGTTGCTCGTCCACTACTGAACTGCAGTCCTGCTCAAGAACCTGAGTGTTGCGTGTGCATCAGTTTTACAGATCTCATTCTCTTGAATACAGACTGTTGGTTCCTTGCCTCTCCGGCAGATGCACTCCGACTTCAAAGGAAGCTTCCCAATTAGTCGACTCTTACGACATGCTTTTGGGGAGGCAGTGGGTCTATTCTTGTTTTCCCCACAATGGGGCCCCGGAACCCACACGGGGGTTTAATAGATCTGACCACCAGGTTGAAATGGGCATCTGTGTTACTGCTATAAAATCTTGCTCTGGGTCCAAAACAGCTGCCCTTCCTTAGAAAATAATCTCATTCACAGTTTTAAATTTCTCAGCTTTACTGGCGGTAAACTCCGACAGAAAGTTTGGTTGTTTGTCCACTTCTGGACTTTAGTCTTGCTTCCAAACGTAGTGTTCAGGGTACCACTGTCTAATTCAGCGGTTCTCAGCATGTGGGTGGCGACCTCTTTGGGGGTCGAATGACTGTTATATAGGAGTCGCCTAAGACCTGAAGTTATGAAGTAGCAACAAAAATAATTGTATGTTTGGGGTCACCACAACATGAGGAAAGTATTAAAGGGTCACCACAACATGAGGAACAGTATTAAAGGGTCACCACAACATGAGGAACTGTATTAAAGGGTCACCACAACATGAGGAACAGTATTAAAGGGTCACCACAACATGAGGAACAGTATTAAAGGGTCACCACATGAGGAACAGTATTAAAGGGTCACCACAACATGAGGAACTGTATTAAAGGGTCACCACAACATGAGGAACAGTATTAAAGGGTCACCACAACATGAGGAACTGTATTAAAGGGTCACCACAACATGAGGAACAGTATTAAAGGGTCACCACAACATGAGGAACTGTATTAAAGGGTCACCACAACATGAGGAACTGTATTAAAGGGTCACCACAACATGAGAAACTGTATTAAAGGGTCACCACAACATGAACTGTATTAAAGGGTCACCACAACATGAGGAACTGTATTAAAGGGTCGCCACAACATGAGGAACTGTATTAAAGGGTCACCACAACATGAGGAACTGTATTAAAGGGTCACCACAACATGAGGAACTGTATTAAAGGGTCACCACAACATGAGGAACTGTATTAAAGGGTCACCACACATGAACTGTATTAAAGGGTCACCACACATGAACTGTATTAAAGGGTCACCACAACATGAGGAACTGTATTAAAGGGTCACCACAACATGAGGAACTGTATTAAAGGGTCACCACACATGAACTGTATTAAAGGGTCACCACACATGAACTGTATTAAAGGGTCACCACAACATGAGGAACGGTATTAAAGGGTCACCACAACATGAGGAACTGTATTAAAGGGTCACCACAACATGAGGAACTGTATTAAAGGGTCACAGTGTAGGAAGATTGAGCACTGCTAATCTCATTAAACTTGAAAATAAAAAATGAATTTTACTTAATTTTTGCAGCTCTTCTTCAGCTCCATTCCATGTCCTATTATGTATTTCCTGTTCCATCTTGACATTATTAGCTGTTTAAAGACCGTTCCCAAGCCCGGCTGTAAAAGGAGGAGGGTCTGGCTGAACCTGAGTGCTTCATGCGTCTCCGGAAGTAGTGGGTAACCGTGGATCAGCCAGACGGCCTGCATGGAGGCCACAAGGAGGCAGCCCCTCCACCATGCAAAGGCACAACAGGCCAATCACCTGTTTGCCTTAAACCACGATTACAAGAAACTACAGAGAGAAAACCGGACGGATCTTAACGGCGACGAACTGGCATGGCTTACGGACTACGATTTATGGAACATGGAACATAAGAGGTATTAACGGAAAGGAAAACGAGTTAGTAGGGGAGATGAGGAAAGCAAAATTAGGAGTCTTGGCTCTGACTGAAACCAAGAAAAAGGGGCAAGGAATCACAGATCACGATGGAAGTATGCTGCTCTACAGTGGTGTCCCTATGACGGAGAGAGCCAAGGGAGGTGTTGGCTGTATTGTGGCCAGGAATCAAGTTAATAACATCAAGGGATGGAAATTCATCTCAGAGCAAATAATGGTGTTAGATCTGAAAGAAGAAGATAAAATTGTCAATTTTGTCATTGTGTACGGGCCAAATGAAGATGAGCGAGTAGATGTTAAAGAAGAATTCTTTGAACTGCTCCAAAGGACCATAGATGTCTGTCACGATGAAATTATCCTCCTAGGAGATCTAAATGTCAGAGTAGGAAATGATCACTCTAGATAGGGTGGAGTGATTGGGAGATATGGTGAAGATGTTTTGAATGATAATGGCAAGCGACTTCTCAGATTCTGCAGGGAACAGAACCTTGTCATTACAAACACAAAATTCCCCCACAAGCGTATACATGCTGTAATAAATCTTGGTCTACTTGAAATGAAGCGTGGTCTGCTTGGAAAGAGTCGATGCTTCTCTTGGAATGAACGTTGACGTACACCAGCTTTAACGTCTAGGGTTGACAACACACACTAACGCCACTCAGCTTCATTGTACAATCTGTCAGTTTATTCTGGTCCATGTATTCAACGTGCTCAAACAATTATTCTCAATTCTACCACTCGCGACATATTTGAACATTAACCATTCTCGCGACATAAAAACTACATCTTCAATCACTACGACCTTCTTCCCTGACTTCTGATGATCGACTGACCACGAGGCTAGCTCGGGCTTCGCCTCGCTTACTCCAACGGCCACAAGTATCTCGTGCCGTAACTTGTAGCACGGACTTCCTGCTTGCCACAATGTACTCGTGGAGACCATGCGAAGCAGGGTCATCACACTCTCCCCCCTTTTTAACAAAATGACACTTTATGGAACATCAAGTGTCATTTTCATTTAACCATATATAGTAAATCAATTTAATTGTATTGCCACTAGGGATTATGGTTCCTGATTATCCTCAATTACTGCCCTTTAAAACTACCTCAATATTTACTGCATGCTTTTCCTAGTACTGAGCTGGTGAAGAGTTTAAAACATCTTTGCACCTATTGCATCTGTAGTGTTGTCTAGTCACTATATCTAATCTATTAGGTTCAAAGTGAAATGATGATAGTGATAATGATGATCAGCTTTGAGATATTTACTACACAGAAAATTGGATTTAACCAATATTTCTACATCACCTTTCACAGGGTGTTAAACCCCAAGGACTCTTAG